CTTTCAGGTCGGATCCCCCACCTTCAACACCCCGTGCATGTGCTCGAGCAACCTTAATTCAGTAACCAAAGAACACAGCAACCCACACACCTTGGTCCCGTCAATTTTTTTTTGTTTAATTTGTGGTGACCCAGCATTTAGCTGGCTGCACACCCTTAACTCATCCTGTCAAACTCTCCTTCTCACTATGGGGATGGGAAAGGCAGGTGGCCGCATTGTGAGGTTCGGGAAGGATCTGATTAGCCGGTTGTTCATTAATTTGACCCTTAGGTAATATCTGCTGAACCAGCTCCTGGCAAACCCCCCCCCCCACCGCAAGAGATGTTGAGACTCTGCTACCTCGACCTGGATGTCTGTCTTAGTTATTTTCCTCACCATGGGACACAATACCCAACATCCGCAAGTTACGGAGAAGTTTCTGGCCGCTCAGTCACAGTGGCAGTCCGTGGTGGGCTGGCTCCAGGGTGAAACTGCGAGGGCTAAGGGTTTGGCAGAGGACAGCTGCCCACCTCATGGCAGCCAGGAAGCACAGGAAGGGATTAACCCTTCCAGGCCATATCCCCAGACTCAGTTTCCTTATCTGTACAATGGGACTGATTGTTAGAGTAGGCCTTAGGGAGCGGTTGCGAGGATTTTAGGAGATAATATAGGATGTCAACATGCTGCTAGAATTCAAGAAATACTAGTTGTTGTTTTGTTTATTGCTTCATCCATGTAGAGATAATTCCTCTACCTGAGTCTACAGGTCTTTAACATTTTTTCTTCTCCTCAGGCAGGAGCCAGAGCTTGGGATTTCTTAGAGTGATGGTCAGAGGATATGAGTGAATTGAGATCCTCTCCTCAGTCAAGTGTAATGGTGTGCATCTGTAATCTCAGCAGTCTGGGAGGCTGAGGCAGGAGGATTGCAAGTACTAGCTCAGCTCAGGTAACTTAGGAACTTAAAACCCTATCTCAAATTTAAAAAAAAATTTTTTTAAAGAGTCAGGGATGTAACTGAGTATGAAGGTTCTGGATTCAGTCTTCAGTGTCACCAATACAAAGCCTTCTCCTTTTCTTCCTGTCTTTAACTTCTAGAAGCACAGTTGTCTTCATCAGTTGTAGCAACAATAGAGACTTTACTGAGTGCTGACGGCAGGGAGCCGACATCGTGCTGCAGCTGGACATGCATTGTTTGCTCAGAGTAAACTGTGCAAGTTATGCATCTGTAACTCATTCATGCAGCCTCTTTTTTATTCAACAAACATCTTTCATCCACCAAACGTGTTCTGCTCAGTGCTTTGGTGTTTGGAATAAACAGTACAACAGAAACCCAAGCTTAGGTTCTAACGTGCAGGAACAATCAGCAATAGGTGACAAGTAAGGCACATCACAGAGTGACAGTGCTATGGAGGAGCAGAAAGGACAAAAGGCAGAGGGAGCAGGGCAGCAAACTGCTCCTTTGAAAACACCGTCAAGCCGAGCATCATGGCGCACACCTGTAATCCCAGCATTTGGGATGCTGAGGCAGGAGGATCATTGTGAGTTCAAGGCCAGCCTGGGTTACAAAGTGAGTTCAAGGCCAGCCTGAACAGCATAGTGAGACCCTGTCTCAAAGACCAAAAAAAGAAAAAAGAAAAGAAAAGATAAAGTAGTCAAGGAAAGCCCTCCCTTCAGAGAGAAAGCGCATTAGTCAGCTTTCTATCACTGTCACACACAACGGAGATTATTAACTTACAAAGAGAAAAGGTTTATCTTTGGCTCACAGTTTTAGAGGCTGAACCACAAAGAAGAGTCTTATACGTATGATGGAATAGTCTACAGCCTTTTAAAAGGAATGAAGTCCTCCACATGCTGAAACACGGCTGAACCCTAAGGACATTGTGCTGAATGAAATAAGCCTGCAACAAAAGGGGAAAAATATTGTCATTCACCTTACACACAGTACCTAACACAGCCAAATATATAGACATAGAGGAGTGGTTGCCAGGGCCTGGAGGGAGGAGACAAAAGGAAGTTATTACTTAATGAGTATAATTTCAGTTCTGCAGATGACAATGTATGGAGATATGTCTCACCATACAGTAACGTAGATTACTCAACTGTATACTTAGGATGGTTAAGGTGGCTTTTTACTTAGTTTTACTTTTTGAGACAGGATGTCACTATGTAATTCAGGCTGGCCTCCAACTCATGGCAATCTTCCTGCCTCAGCCTCGAGAGTGTTCGATTACACACATGCACCACTGTGCCTGGCTACTGAGTTTTTCTTGAAGTCGTGTCTAGATTCACATGCAGCTGTGGAAAATAACACAGAAATCCCTTTACACATTGTTCAGTTTCCTAGTGGTAACATTTTACAAAACTGCAATATTGTAGCTCTAAGATATTGGCATCCATAGAGCTGCCCATCTTACGTGGATATCCCCACGTCCTTTCTCCTGTGTGCCTGCATGAATGTGTTAAATTCTATACATTTAATCATGTGAGTAGGTCTGCGTGTAAGATGGGGATCAGTTCCAATATCAAAGGTTTCATCACGCCCCCTCTGTACAATCCCTTCCCTTAGGACTTCAAAAAGTTGCCATTGGAATCATACAATATGTAACCTTTGGGGGTTGGCATTTTATCTTCACCATAATTTTCTGGTCCTTCATCCAAGTAGCTGCATAGATCAATAGTTTGTTTCTTTTTGTTGCTGAATTATGTTTCATAGTATCAATATACCATAAAGTATTTGTTCGTTTGTTTTGAGACAGGTTCCTGCCATGTTGCCCAAACTGGGCTCAAACATGTAATCCTCCTGCCTCACCCTCCCCAAGTGCTGGGATTTCAGGCATGTTCCATCGTGCCTGGGTCAAGGGTCATTTTTAAATTTAAAAAAAAATCATTCTGCTGCTTCCAGAGGACACCGGTAATTTATTTTATAGTTCTTAGATGATTTGTTCTATATTGTCAATAAACTCAAATTGGTTAATTTTGTTTACATGTTCCATATCTTTCCTGATTTATTGTGTATTGATTCTTTCAATTACAGAGGGAGAATCATTGAAATTTCCGATTATGACTTTGGAGTTACTTATTTGTCCTTTTATTTCTGTTAATTTTTGCTTTACGTATTTTTGAAGCTATGTTATTCGGAGCATAACTGTTTAGGATTTAGGATTGTTAGCTTTCAATGATAAATAGACCTTTTCTGTCATTGGATCTTTTTTATGGACAGTTTCTGTTGATTTATTTTCACCCTTTGAATGGGTCACACTTGCAAGTTTGTATATCTTGTTATTTTGTTATTGAAAATTAGACATTTGAGTTTAATAATGTGGTAGCTCTGGAAATCTGATTCCCCCTTCCCAAGGGTTTTACTAGACTTTTAAAAATTGTTTTTACTTTTTAAAAGATTGTTACAGGCTGTCTCTGTGCCAAGAATGAGCCTGAGGTGTAAACTTCAAAGACGCTGGGTCTTAGCCAGTCATGGTGGTACACACTTTAACCCCAGCACTCAGGAGGCTGAGGCAGGAGGATCCTTCCGAGTTCAAGGCCAACCTGGACTACATAGTGACCCCCTGCCTGAAAGAATAACCCAAACTAGAGAAAACAAAACAAAAATCCTCAAGTCTTTTTGAGTCTGATTCTTCCCCTGGGCATGTGAGATCTCTTTGTAATTTTCCCCATCCATACTACCGCATCCAGCGATCCTATGTCTAATGCATGGTTCTCAATAGGTGAAAAAGAATACTGGAAATTGAACCCAGGAAGTGCTAAGCTACATCCTAGGATCTTTTTGTGTTTTGTTTTTTATGAGACAGGGTGTTATGTCTTGTGTCTAGAAGTCCCCACAAAGCCTCACGCAGTCATAGGTGGGGCTTTTGCAGGCTGGATCTAGAATGCATGCCGCTGGGATTCATTCATGGTACAATGCTAGGATCAAGGGCACTAGGATTAATGGTGTGAGTGCTACACACCTGAAGTAGCCTGGGTAAGATATAAGAATAGAAAGTGGTGGTCTTTTGTTGCTTTGCTACCTTCTGCCCACCATGGACTGTTTCTCCTCTGAGATGCCTGTCTGCCCTGCCCCCCTGCCCCTCTTGGAGCCAGCTTACCATGGGCTGAAACCTCTACAAACTGAGCTAAATAAACCTTTCCTGGGTTGGGGGTATAATTCAATGGCACAGCACATGCTTGTCAAGCATGAGGTCATGAGTTCGATTCCTATACCCAAAAAAATAAATAAATAAATAAATAAATAAACTTTTCCTCCCTCACCTTGGAGGTGTTGGGTATTTTGTCTCAACAATGAGAAAAGTAACTAAGACTCAGTGTCTCACCATGTAGCCCAGGCTGGCCTCGAACTCACAGCGATCCTCCTGCCTCAGTCTCCCAAGTGCTGGATCACAGGTGTGTACCACCACGCCCGGTTCACTCTCAACCCTTCGAAGCATCTGTTTCTTCTTCAGTGAGCAGAACTGTCGTGAAGGTGAACCAGATGAAGCCTGCGAGAGCTTCAGCACAGAGGCTGGTGCTCGGCGAGTCACGCGTGGTGTTCCCTACTATGGCGACAGCTTCATCATCAAACACCTTCCCTGCCTCCCGCCCGTCCCTCCTCAACCCATTTGCTGAAGCTTTGTCCCTCTGTGCTGCCAGATACTCCGTACTGCGACCTCAGGTTTGCAGACCGCCCAGGTCATTGACCCTCGGCCTCCCGAACAGGGACACCAAGCTCAGACACCGGCTTCTACTCATTTCTTTTTCTTCCAAGTGTATTTAGCGCCCAGGAGGGGCTTGGCGCGTGTTTGTTGAATGAATGAGTGAGCGACAAGCCATTTCACCTTCTAGATCTGGTGAGCCCGTCTGGCCCGAGCCTGCGGTCACAGTCTTGACCTCTGAACGGGGTCCCATGCCGCGACACCCAGCGACACCCGCGCTGACCCGCCCTGGGCTGGCTCAGCCCGCCTAAAGCCCCGCCCACAGCGCGGGTTGGACGGTGGAGGCAACGCCCACCGGCTGCGTGGCCTCGGATTGGTGAGGCCGCCCCCGAGAGGCGGGGTCAGGGTGAGAGAGGGGCAGCAGCTGCCTTGTGCGCCAGAAAACCCCTGCCGGCCGGCTGCGCGGACACAGGCTGCGTGGACAACCGGGTGAGTGCGGCGGCGCGGGGGAGCGGTAGGAGCGGAGGACGCCGGGGGCGGTGATGCGCTCCGGGCACCGCACAAGCCCGCGTCCCCACGGGCTGCGATGGGCCGAAGTCCTCAGTCTGCTCTTGTCTTCCAGACCTGGACATCCGAGGCTCCCGGACCACCAGGAACCGCCCAATATGGCATCAGAGGTGAGCGTGGCCCCAGCCTGCGAGCAGGGGTGGGGGGAGGCCCCGGCTGTGACCCGCGCGGTGATTGGCGCCGGCGCCCCCAGGCGGCCGTGACATGCACGCGCGCGCGC